CCGTTGAGAGTAAGAAACCTGTTAAATTCTATGATATTTTATAACTAAAGTATTTTATATTTTCCAATATGCCAGCTGTTTTATAATGTATATTATTTTTGTATAGTGTCCTACTATTTTATTGATAATCGGCCCGCTTCCACCACACCTATCAAGTGGTCCACGTTTTGTCATTAGGTTGGAGTTTTCACCTTTCTGCAAAAAATTCAAAAGCAAAGATTTAACTTACTTTATAACATTCTGATTCTTTATTATACTAACACTAACGAGTCCGGGTGCCTTTAATATATTAATGAATTCGACAAAAAAAAATTGAAGAATATGTCATATATAATTAAATATTTTTTTTAATATTTGTCATTTAAATTTCAAAAACTATTTTAAAAATTTTTTCCTATTTTTAATTCTATTTAAAAAAATTCTAAGTAACATTTCTTTAGACTTGCGTAATTTACAAATGAACCAGCTCTATTAGGTAGTTCATTTCGGGAAACCACTAAATTTGATTGTGGACTTGATTTCTTTTGAACATATTTAGACTTTGGAACATGTAAGCATTTTTATTGATCAAAATACTATATATCATACTTTAGCTCTACGACCCCGTAAATAACAATTTTTCATATTTTAAAGCATCGATGCAATTTGATAAGTGAATTTTCAGTATTTAGGGCTGGCCAGAGAGGGTATAAGGAGAGTTTAGGCACTCTTTTTCGTGTCGTTTTTTTTATTTCATTTAATTATTTAGTATATAATTTATCCTGCTTTTAAAATACTAAACTCTTAATCCACGAAATATATTAAAACGTGCTTCGTTAAGAAAGGATTAAATATTGTAATATAACAAATTTGTAATATTGTATTGTTTTAAATAAAAAAGTTATTTGATTTTATTTTAACCGAGTTAGCCTTGAATAATAATAAAAGTAAAGAAAGTAATAAGTTTTTTTGTTTCCAAATATCTTTTTATAAATATTTTCAAAATTTGTTTCAGATATTGTTATCCATTTATTTTCGGTGTCATCCTCTAGCAAAAAGAGGAATGCTTTCAAGGTAGATTCTGTGCAAATTACATATCAGATGCATTTTCTTTTTGCTTTTTTGGGTAAGTTCTTTTTTTTTATTTAATGATAAAATTTATAAATTATAGTTCGTATTTATATAAGAACCATATACGAAATTTAATATTACGTTATCATATACCATAACTAATAAATAATTTTATAATTTAATTATTTAATTGTACAATTATTGTATTATCTAATCATATTCTTATCTGCTTTTATAATTATTTAATTTTGAAGCAGAAATCCATTGAGGCAAATGTAAAACAAATAGAAGTATAAAGTTTTCTCTAATCAAATTGTTTCCAACTATTCTAGTGTTATATTACACTACTTTATTTTAAGGATCTGGAGACATTATAATGTCACTGATCTTTATACTACAATTACAGATAAATTTTGATCATGACATAATATATGTAATAAAATGTAATCATTTAAAATAAAATGTATGGACATATATATAATATATAATATATATATAACTAATAATAAGTGGGAGTTTGACATATTATCTGGGTTTTGAACTTATTTAAAACTTTAACTTTTAGTTTTATTTTCAAGAAATACAGCTTAATTGTACTTCATTTTACAGTAAGGATCCCAGATTTTCGATCTTAACAGTACACAATATTTAGAAAAATTTTATTTATGTTCAAAATTCAAACACGAAATTGGTTGTTATTTTGAGATTTTTTGTATACAATCACTCGGACCTTAAAAAGTTTTCCAAAAATTCTCTCTGCTACTACAGTACAATTATATGTAATTCATTTTATATCTTTCTATTGTAATTTTTTTAAAGAATATATCTAATCGTGCGATATTCTCCTGTAATTCAATTTGTTTTGTTTTGTAATCTAATTCCATAATTTCTCTACTTCGTGGGAACTCATACACTCCATTTAACTGTCTTCTGGTAGAACCTCCTTTTTTTATTTTTTATTTATAGCTTTACCAGCTGGTTATATACCAGCCCATTTTAAACGTTGCCACCGAAATTATAATTATTTTTATTTTTTTAAATATAATTTTAAATTTTAATTATAATTTTATAATTATAATAATTTTGTAATCTCACCCCAATTACCTGAATAAAATATTTTCGTATTTAAGTAACATATTTAAGTTTGGCGCCTTGAAGTTTGTACTCATCAACCATATGACAATAAATTTTTTTCACTGCTAATATTACTTTCCAAAACGGAACCGGAAGTGTTCCCATACAAATAGCCAATATTGTCTCATTGACTACATTGTGATGCTTTACAATAAATTCGATTACGTTGACATTTCAATGTCATTCTGCGTTGCGCCACACTGTGCTGCTGCATGTTGGGTGTCCTTTGGCTCCTTACTATCAGAAATAGTTTCAATGTATATGTGCTGCATTTATTCAATTGTATTTATCTTGATGTTAAATGCGACACATAAAGGACTGCCAAAACAAATAATTGAAAAATATGAAATTTGCTGCTCATCATCCTGGCAATCGTATTTATCCTGCGTTCAACTGGCAAAGTTACATATGCTCTGATGGACATATTTGTCGCATCATTGTTGCTGACAAAATGAGCATAGAATAAGCATTATGCATTGTTAAACAATGAAAAAACTGCAAGGACTTTTTTTTGTCCTGTCAAAACAAAATGCGATTAACGATAATTTATGATGTCATATAAAATATGTTCGCCTTTATATTATATTTTTATTTCTTCATATATATATATGTTTTCCAAATTCAATTAACTTATTTGTTTATTTATTTCGGGTTATTAGAAAATATTTACTTAAATATTAAATTTGATTATTATTTATTTATTATTTATTTAAAAGAAATTCATACAGCACGTACAAAAATTATAGAATATAACTTTAAATCTAAATTGACAATAACATATTTGTTTTGAGTCAGATTAACATACTAAAAGTGGTGCATATTATTAACATCATTATTCATATAAATTCTTCAATAAATTTGTACAGGTTATAAGTACTGCTACCATTTAACAGGACTTTAAATAAGTCTGTACAATTTACAGACTTATTCAGGCAGAGTACTTTATTAAAATAAAATATCGGCCATACAGGCTCTCCGAAGACTTGGTACATCCGCACAAACGATATACTAGGAGACCTTAGAATAGATCCGATCAAAAAATACGTAAGGGACAGAGCCCTGAAGTTATATGCGAAAACTGACAGGCTATCCTACTTAGCAGTATCTAATATTAGAGTAATCACTCTCCGCACGCTGAGGTACGCAGATTTTAGAACAATCACTGAATAATCAAGAAGCTTATAAGGAATATATAATTTAGTCAATGAGATGGGTGGGACCCTGTAGTACCCCGAGCTATCAAAGAGTAAAAGTGCCCGGTTGCGCTGACTCGAAAAAAGGATCAACATACATACATACACCAATAATATGATAGGTATACATTTTCTATTTCATGACGAATGCAAACACTTTTACTCCGTTTGTATAATGTTATAACATTATTGTGTAATAATTTAAGATCTATACTCGAAATACTGGTTATTGATAGGCCAATCTTGATTTTTCCAATTTTTGGCCCAATATAGGCCTTTGTCAATCGTAAGTTCAGCTAGTATTGGAAGAAGCCTTGAGGAGGAGATATAAAGAATTTTTCTTACAGTATGGAATGTGTTTGAACTGTGTATACGAATTACCTTAGTAAGCCCGCTTCTAAGTAAAGCATATACCATAGAGTTTTTTCACTTGTTCATAATGTTTATAACTCTAAAATTGATTATAAGTATTTCATAAAGTACTATTTCAGTACTTATTGCTATAAAGTATACTTTCTTGCATGTCAGGTATATTTAAGATATATTCTTGATATTTACAACTAATGGAGTTGTATTTACACATGTCTATGGTTTTATAAATTTATATTATAACTGATTTATTCCTATTGATATCTTTTTTTCATCTAGTTCTCTTAATAATCCATTTACCAAGATTTGAAAAATTAATTCAAAGTTTTTTATAAAAAGTTATATATACTACACGTAAATTTTATTTATCGTAAAATTGCTTTTTATATGTTGCGCTAATTTTCTCTCTTGATAGATTTCTAGTAAACTAAAATTCTTTTTGGCAACATGGCGTTTAAGCCGTCATACAAAAATCGTGTCAAGACTGTCGTATCCGCAATAAAAACCACTTTCCATTGGGGTTTTATGCCGCTGATAATCTATTTAGGCTTAAGAACTGGGGCTGAGCCAGGTAAGCCTGCATTAAGTGTGTGGAGCTTGCTGCCATTCCATTTTTAACAATTAAGGATATCATAGTATAAGTACATGTAAGCGGTTGTGGAATGAAATTATATTAGGATTGGACTATGATTGGAATATAATAGCTTGAAGGGGATGACAAGGTAGCTGATTTAGTTAATTTTCACCTTAAAAATTTTTGATTCTTTATTGTACACAATGACATGCCTACTTTCAAGGAATCAAATATAAATTAAAATATTTTTCAAACTCAATAATAAATAAAAATATAAATACAAATCTGCACACCGAAAACAACGACTTTTAATTATTTATTTTTCGAATGCAGTATTAAAATATATATAATATAAAAATATAATAATATATTGTACCGTGAATTCTTATAGCTGTCTTAATTTAATAATATTGTTTTTGCAATATTATTCATATAGACTAAAGTTTGGTTCTTTTGCAGTAAGTTCTTAGTCGGTTAGGTTAGGTTATACCGGCGATTCCTAGAATATCCACTTATGCCTATTGGCATATTGTGTTACCGTATATATAGGAATAACTCAGGGTTTAGAACCTTTGCTAAGTTTTTAGTAAGTCAAATTAAATATTTAACACAATAATGTAAATATTATTATTTGTATATTCCTTAAATTAAATATTACACTTTGGAAGAGCTGTTCTCTGTTGCACAACTGTTTGATTCTGAGTTAATATATCTAGAAGGTTTTTCTATTTGACCTGGAGAAGCTTGTTTAAAATTAAGATGTTTAAAATTCTTCAGCAGAAAGATATACATCTGTTTGATAACAGTATTATGAGTAATAATAATTCTTCAGCAGAAAGATATACATCTGTTTGATAACAGTATTATGAGTAATAATAATACTTAAAAAAATACGGATATACGGAGACTGGGCTGTATGTTTAATATGCTTATTTATATTTATTTTATCGCATTTTTTTATGTATACCTTATCACATGTAATTATATATAGTTTTAATTGTGTAATTCTATGTATTACATTATATATGTGGTCGTTCAATAATTACTACCACATCAAAATATTTAGTCATATTTTTGTAATCATATAATTATTATTTATTTAAAAAGTTTATTTTTATATTTCTATCTATTTATTTATATAATATAGATGTTATATTTATATATCACCTATTTATATATATTTATTTATATTTATATAATATAGCATAATAATGGTTTTATGATACCTTTCTTTGTTATCATTATTTAATTAGTATTTAGGTACATCTTTATTAACATTTTCTCATTGTTTGGTTTGCGGAAGGGAGTAAAGTATGTCGTCAGAAATATATTATTATAGTTTGTAGGGCTAAGTATATACCTTTTTGTTTTCACGTATCTCCGGTGACTAGCTTTCATCATGTCCGGATATTGTCATTAGGCAATACATAGTGGGTATTGGTCTATATCGATGTAAATCAATACGGAGCCATGACTAATGTGATTTAAAAATGTGAGTATTCAGTTTGATCATATTTGAAAAACAGAGCAAGAAGATTCAAACGCGCCCTGAAGATTTCTAATGCTTAAACAAATTAGTTAGGTCCTATGGTATATTGATCGATCACTCCATTGCGAAATTCAAAGAAAAGTGAATTGAAACAGGTGAAAAACTCTATAGAGGCGAGACAATACAATTAATAGTATAATTAATACCTTCAACTGGTACCGGCTAAATTCCTTGTACTGATACGTGTGCCAATTTAAAAACTGTGGACTCTATCAGTTTACATTAGGGTGGCCGCCATTGTTTAAATTTACTTACTATGTTTTAAATTGATTAATTATTCTTTTTTTTATTAGATATAGTCAAATTTATCTCAGATAGTAAATGATAAGATAATAACTAGCTTAAATTGATATTTTGAGGACCGTTGTGCAATACATTATTTTGTTGTATAAAATAAGTACAATATTGCGTCATAAAAAATTAATGCTGAAGTAAAGGCCATTGTGAGATGGGATGGTCAATTTATATGTGAAGATCACTATATAAAATTAAGTCAGATTGAACATTTTTCCAAAAATATATTACAGTTATATTCGTATAATAAATAAATCTTAATTTTCCAAAAAGAGAATAGAGTTAATAGAAGAAAAATAGAAGAATTATATGGTATTAGACCGTTAGTGTGGCAATTTCCTGCCTAGGTTGTATGGCCCTAAAAAATAAGGATCATTACAAGCTAAGTCAGTATCCATTATATTGTGCTAAATGGTTTATAATTGTTATTATTTTGATAATATATATTCTTATAAATTTTAGTTTAAAAATATAATTTAAACTAAAATTTAACCAGTAATATCAATAACCCATAATAAATTATGTACGAAGAAAACTAAAGTTTAGTATCTAATGACATTAAGTAATTGTATTGCAAAAATAAACGGCTTATGATTGTCACATTCTATTACGATATTTTTCTATAAAAATTTATAAAATAGTATTTGTCTATTTGAAAAATCTCAACAATAAAAAGTGATTTTGCAGGCATTAACACGGGATAAGAATAAATTTTCATAGCCGCTGTTTATACTGCCACATTTGCTTTTTCGTTGATTTCTACTAAATCAGTAAAAATATATAAAATTTCTGTTTACATATTAGGGATTTTCCTTAATGGTTTTAGCATTAACTTTTCACACAAATATTAATCGTATTCGCATAATCATCATACGCATGCGTAAATCCTCGCAATGTGTTTTAATATTGTTCATTTATGTATTTAGGACGTTAAGTAAACATCGGAAACGTACATATTTCATATCCTTTTTGTGTGTTTTGTTTTCTTAAGGATTTTGTGGTTGAATATTTTGGTTGCATTGTAAATATTGCTTTTGTTTCGTAATCTATTTAGAGGCTGGTTTAATGATCAATATGAAATATGTAAAAATATTTTATAACAAAACTTGTGTGAAAATGTGTTTAAATCAATAGAAAAATGTGTATATAAGATTTTTCTATATACCAAATATTTAAATCATTATATGCCGCTTGGCACACTTCGTCCCTCCCATTTGAGTTAAGCATCGAGTAAAGTAATTTTTCACTACGTTATGCAGTAACCCGTATATTAAGTTATATTTTGAGTTTCATGTTTTCATCAACTTCAATGAAAATTATTCTAAATTATGCAATAATTTGTACTTAAATAAACTTGCATCACTTAATCTACTTAACTTACGCACAGTCGCATCAACACGCATCAATTGAATGCATTGCGGCATTAGCCAACGACGTGACGCCATCATAAAATTACCAAACCCGCTCGTGCTACAATGGCGGAGCGCGGCATCACCATAGCGCCCATGCTACCACCGTTGAGCTGTTCCCTCAGTTTATTAGGTTAATTACGAGTTTTTGATTGGAAATAAAAGCTACTGCCTTCATATTGATAAAACTAATGGCACGCGGCCTCATGCCTACCACTTTTAAAATCAATTGTTGTTCTTTACTGACTTTCTATCGAACAATTAATTAAGAAACATTTTATTATCGTTGATACGCTGTGCTGCTCACGGCTGAGCTTATTGAATGCGCAATGTATCTATGCCAAATACAGATAAACTCCAGCAGAGTGTCATAATTAATACTGCCTCAAACGTTCGCCTTAGCCACCACAGCCAATTCCAGCCACGATATCTGCTACTTGCTTTCGTGGAATTTTATTTCTGCTAGACGCGATAATTGCAGTAACGATCGCTGGCTTTGCTTCGTAAATAGTTTACCCGTTGAAGTAATTTATGCTTGATCGGTTTCCTTATTAAGATACATTTGTCTGTATTCTGTAATTTATTAGTTTTTAAACACTTTGATGCACAATAAACTCATTTTTGTATATATACGCTGTACAGTTTTATTAAATTAAAACTCAACTGAAATCATTGTTATTCGTGTTAATATTTGATTGTGTTTTTAATTAAATAACTTACGAGTCTGAATGATGTAGGCAATCTGCATTCATATATAAAAATGTATACAAGTTATAAACATATATAATAAAATAAGTATATATATATTTGATATTGCATATATTCTTACACATGAATTATATGTAAAGTAAGTATAAGATATAGATAATAACCTTCATGTAAATAAGTTCGATCTTTTTAGAGAAAAAAAAAACCTAATATACTTAAGAGTTAGTTAGGATTACTTAAGCAATACGGTAGAAAGATGTTAGCAAAGTTTAAACATAAGTGAAGCACCAAATGCTATTAATATTAAGGTTTATTATTTCTAGAATAATATAGGATATTATATATTGGGGCTCTATTCTATGCGTAAATCCTATGAGTTATCTAAACAGAATAGGAAGCTGCCTCGACACCAAAACAAACGAACTACAAACTTTACTCTTCCTTTTAAAAATAAGGTTTCATTTACTGAATTGGTGATATTAATGAAGGATCTGTTATAAAGCAATAAATATGACTACGTTGTAAAGTTCTCAAACAGACTATAACATAATTTAACAAAACAATAGCAATTACACAAAGACAGTAAAAAAAATAAAGCTTCACATATGGAATATTATATGATACTTCAATTCATTCTATAAGACTGTCTGCAATAGTTCGTTTTGTATACTTACTTTTGTATATTTGAGCAGACCCATGTATACCTGTACACTCGAATTTCAAAACTGTGATTGACAGTTTAAGTGATACGTATATATAGGACATCCGATACATCAGACTGGATCTCAGCAAAATAATCAGTCTGTTAAAAATTTATATTAAGAGTTCTAGATTCAAGTTTTTTATAATGGTATGAAGAATTTGCGAACGGTCAAGTATAGGGAGGGATAGGAAAAGGAAATACTGACGGAAAAAGTTGAATATAACTCGAGTCAATTCTGCTAAAGTGCTAATAAAAGAGACGAACTTAGAGAGATTGTAGAACGTAGTAATTCCTTTAGACGTTTAGTAAATCCGTAAAGCAAGTAAGTAATGGATTCATAAATATTATGACATTATATGAACTATGAGTAAAGTTTGTTTTCAATAAAGCTAATATTATTATTTTTAACTTCCACATACTAAACTCTGGGTTTAATAAAAATGATTTCTGAGAGGATTAAGCTCAATATTAAAAAATATATAATCATTTTTATTTCTGTAGGTTTCAAGTATTATAAAAAGAATAAAGTCAACGCATAGAGTCGCTCAACGACAGTAATATATTGAACATGTTCATATTATTTGCTCGGTAGACCTGTACTTAGCCAAGACCACGTGTAGACCT